TCAATACAAGATTTAAACATGACTCTATTTCAAATCAAGTTAAAAATTATCTAAATACATTGATTAATAATGATGACGATAATGGAATAAATAAAAGAATGCAAAAATTGGTTCAAATTCTTAGTACCAACTTTAAAAATATTTATAACTCTATTCAGTATTCTATTAATTATTATGTACAAGCATTCATGAATTATATTTCATCAATATTAAGCAGATCAATAATGAATTGGGATCTTAAAGGAATGTTTTATTTAATTAATAATAATGATTATGAATATATTAATAATCCATTAGGGATATTATGTGATAATCTAATTTTATCAATTCAACGTTCAATTATTGTTAAAAATGCTAAATCAAAAACTGGAAGTAAAACATTTAATATTGAAAATGAATATAAACAAGCTACTCAAATTGGTGGAAAACAATATATACGTCTTGCTGGTTTACGTGATGATATTTCAAATAATAATGGATTTAGTAAATCATTAAATGATGGAAGAAGAAAACAAAAATCATCAAAATATGAAAAAACACAAAGGAGATTTTCATTTCATTCATTCTTTATTCTAGGAATGACTAAAAATCAAATTATTCAACAAACATTATTTAATGGAAAAGAAGGAGCAAGTGCTTTAGCTCATTTAATAAAAGCAAAAGTAATTCCTGATTGTGTAAGTTCAATATGGGTATGTTGTGTTGATAAAAGATATGAAAATGGAAGAAATGGTAAATTTTCTGTATCTAAACAAAATATTACATGGTCAGGTGGAAAACTTAAACCAGATATAGATGATGAAAAAGGATTAACAAAATATTTAATTATTTATTTATGTGCTAAAGATAATGACTATATGATTAAAAAACAATAATTCAATTATCTTTTTATAATTCTTAAATCTCCTGTTAAATTATCTATTTTTAATACTTCATTTTGATTTATAGTTTGATATAAATAATAAGCAACAGAATTTGTAGCTGATCCTGCTGTTTGTCTATAAATATATCCAAATTTTCTTTAGATATCCT